TGTGGTTTTATTGTCTTTGTCTTCATGGCCATTCTTCACGTCTCCATAAAAACACCAGGGACCATTGAGATCAGCTTTCAAAAATGCTGGAGGGATCTTCTTCTTCTTGTCAAATTAATAAGAGCTTAAAGCAAATCAAATTCCTCAAGGGCAAAGTCCAGGACCACACAGCAGGGTGTGGGCGTGTGGAGGAGCCTGCTGCTTAGAGTCACAGCAGTTGCTACAACAGCTGATTTCTGAAGCACCAGCTGCACGCCAGCCCCTGGAGGGCCTGGGAAGACGGCAGGAGCCATCCTGTCGAACAGCTGTTCTCAACCTGTGGGTCCCGACCCCTTTGGGGGTCAAACGACCCTTTCACAGGGGTCACCGAATACATCATGCATTGCAGACATTTACATGAAGATTCATAACTAGCAAAATGACAGTGATGAAGTAGCAAGGAAAATAATTTTATGGTCGGGGTCACCACAACATAAGGAACTGTATGAAAGGGTCAGGCCCTATGAAGGTGGAGAGGCAGGACTGTAGAAGCTTCATTTTAAGAAAAGTCAGGTGAGGTTTGGAGTAAAGCTGCCCCAAACAACACAGGACTAAATCGAGCTCCTTTGTGAAGAGCTGGACTGCTAACCACAAGGTCAGCAGTTCAACCCCCTCAACCACTCCTCAGGAGAAAGAAGAGGCTAGCTGCTCCCATGAAGATTTGTAGTCTCAACAACAACAACAACAAAAAGAAAATAGTTCCAGGTCTGTTTGTTGACCTTTAGGAGTGTTTTGCAGTAGAATCTGATAGGGTGCCACACCCAGGCCCCAAAGTCTAATTTTGGTATTCCCTGGGGACTTCATTGCTTTGCTCCCCTTGCTGCTCTTTTGCAAACCCTTAACATTGCTCCCCAGTGTGGTGGGGTTGGATGGGGCACATTCCCAAACTATGCCTCCAGTGTTGTCTCTCGTAGAGATCTGGGTCAGTGAGCGACGTCTTGTCTCCGGGTGGGTCCAGCCCTATCGTCCTCTCTGTGCATTGGCTGCTCTGAGCAGGAATATCATTCTCAGGGCTTGGTGGGCCAGGATTTGTTCCACTCTCTCTCCTTCCCTCTTCATTTGCTCCCGTGTGCTCTGATCAGTCATGCCCCTCTCCCTGAGCTGTAGCTTCAGTGCTGTACTCTGAAGTGCCTTCTTCTTGGAGAGGAGGGGCAGTGTCCACATATCCCAGCTATTTTTTTCCATTGGTTTTGTTGTTGTTGTTTGTTTTTGTTGTTTTGTTTTGTTCTGCCTTGTTTTTGTGCTTATTATTGTCTCTGCATGTCTATTTAGATAAGGTAGGTGGGATAAACAATCGGGAGAAGAAAACAACGGTTTTAGGGGTGGGGGACGATGGAAGGGAGGCAGGGGAAAGGAAGTGGGTGTTAACAAACCCAGGGACAAGGGAACAACAAGTGATCTAAAATCGATGGCGAGGAGGCCTGGTGAGGTTTGATCAAAGGCAATGTGACTGGAAGGAATTACTGAAACCTGAATGAAGGCTGAACATGATAGTGGGATAAGAGGAAAGTAAAAGGAAACAGAAGAAAGAACTAGGAGGCAAAGGACATTTATGAAGTCTAAATATAGGCATGTACATATGTAAATATATATATAACAATGGAGAAATAGATCTATGTACCCAATTTAGAGGCTTAGTATTAAGGTAGCAGATGGACATTGGGCCTCTACTCAAGTACTCCCTCAATGCAAGAACACTTTGTTCTATTAAACTAGCATTCCATGATGCTCTCCTTCCCGACAGGATCATTGAAGACAAAGTGGGTGCATAAGCAAATGTGGTGAAGAAAGCTGATGGTGCCCAACTATCAAAAGATATAACGTCTGGGGTCTTAAAGGCATGAAGATAAACAAGCGACCATCTAGCTGAGAAGCAACAAAACCCACATGGAAGAAGCACACCAGAATGTGTGGTCACAAGGTGTCAACAGGAGCAGGTAACAGGCATCAAAAACCCAGAATGAAAAATCGTATCATTGTGAATGACAGGGAGTACGGAGTGGAGACCCAAAGCCCATCTGTAGACAACTGGACATCCCCTTACAAAAGGGACGCGGGGAGGAGACGAGCCAGTCAGGGTACAGTGTAGCATAGATGAAACATACAACTTTCCTCTAGTTCTTTAATGCTTCCTCCGCCCACCCCACCCCCACCCCACTATCATGACCCCAATTCTACCTTACAAATCTGGCTAGACCAGAGCATGTACACGGGTACAGACAAGAGCTGAAACACAAGGAATTCAGGACAGATCAATCCCTCAGGACCAATATTGAGAATAGCCATACCAGGAGAGGAAGGGGAAGGTGGGGGAAGATAGAGGGAACTGATTACAATGAACTACCTATAACCCCCTCCCAGGGGAATGGGTAACAGAAAAGTGGGTGAAGGGGTATATTGGTCAGTGAAAGACATGAAAAAATAATAATTTATAAATCATCAAGGGTTCACGAGGGAGGGAGGGTATGGGAAGGAAGGGGAAAAATGAGGAGCTGATACCAAGGGCTCAGGTAGAAAGAAAATGTTTTGAACATAATGGTGGAAACAAATGTACAAATGTGCTTGACACACTGTATGTATGTATGTATGTATGTATGTATGTATGTATGTATGTATGTATTGTGATGAGAACTATATGAGCCCCAATAAAATGATAAAAAAATATTTATGGTCTCCCCATCCCAGAGCACCAAGCCTTGAGGGCAATACACTGGCAGGGAGCAGCAAACTAACAGAGAGGATGACAGGACTGGGGCTGGGCCCAAGCTGAGCTATGTTGACCCCCTCCTCAGAAGAATGTAATTCAGAGGACAGCACTGAAGATATAGCCCCGGGGAGAGAGGCAGGTCTGTCCAGACCACATGGAATTAACTAAGGGTGGGGTTGAGACGGTGGAGGAGGGTGGAGAGAAAGGGAGTGGACCACATTATGGTCCACAAAACCCCAGGGGATGGCATCCCTGTTCAGAGCAGCCAATGCACAGAGAGGACTGTAGGGCTGGCCCCACTATGAGACATGACGTCCCCTCTCCGAACCATAGCTCTACAGGGGACATCACTGGAGACATGGTGCAGAGAGTGTGCTCGATCTGCCCCACTCACAGTGGGGCAAAAGATGAAGGGAGTGCAATGGGGCAGTAAGGGGAGCAAAGAAACCCAGTCCCTGAGGAATCCTGAAAACAGACTCTGACTCACGGGACAGGTCTTGGCACCTCATCAGACTTGATCGGAAAGTATACATAAGGGTTAAAACACACACCTGGAACTATCTATCAGTTTTTTCTTTTTCGTTCCGTTTTTGTTTGATTTTCTTTTTCTTTCGCCCTATGTCTAGTTAAATAAGATACGCCAGACAAACAATCCCGCGTAGCAAGCAATGGGACTGATGGTCCTGGGGGGACATGGGAGAGGAGGAGGGCAGGGAAGTGGGGTGGAGAGGCAACAAACTCAGGGATAAGGTAACAACAAGAAATGTAGAATTGATGGTGAGGAGGGCGTATAATGCCAGGTGGAGTTCAAGTGTAATGTATCTGAGAGGAGTTACTGAGAGCTGAATGGAGGGTGAGCATGATAGTGGGATAGAAGGTGAGAGGAAATAGAGGAAATAACTAGAAGGCAAAAGCTATATATAGAGGTATAGCTATAGGCATGTATATATGTTAATTTATAACAAAAGGGATAGAGGCCAATGTACATATGTTTATATGTTAAGTATTAAGATAGCAGGCGGACATTGGGTCTCTACTCAAGTCCTCCCTAAACACAAGAACACTTTGTTCTAATAACCTGGCACTCTTTGATACTCACTTTCCCGACAGGATCATTGAAGACAAATGGGTGCATGACCAAATGTGGTGAAGAAAGCGGATAGTGCCCGGCTATCAAAAATTGTAGCATCTGGGGTCTTAAAGGATTGAAGTTAAACAAGCAGCCATCTAGCAGGGAAGCAAAGAAGCCCATATGGAAAAAGCACACCAGCCTGTGTGATCATGAGGTGTTGACAGAATAGGTATCAGGTATCAAAAGATCCAAAACAAACCATTATATCCATGTGAAAGAGGGGGGTTGGAGTGGAGACCCAAACCCCTTCTGTAGACAATTGACACCCCCTCACTGAAGGGTTACAAGAAAGAAATGATTCAACCAGGGTGCAGTATAGCACCAATGAACCACACAGCATTCCTCTAGTTTCTGAATACCCCCCTCCCTACACACACACACTATCATGGCTTAGTTGTACCTTACAAATCCAGCTAGACCGGAGAACACACATTGGTACAGATAAGAGTTCTCCACACATGGAATTCAGGGCATATAAACCCCTCAGGAACAGTAGTGAGAGTAGCAATATCATGACAGTAAGGGGATGGTAGGGGCAGGTGGGGAGGGGGAGAAAGATTGGACATATAGCCCCCCACCACAGGGCGATGAATAACAGAATGTGGGAGAAGGGGGATAATGCACAGTGTAAGACATGAAAGAATGGTAATAATATAGAATTGATCAAGGGTTCACCAGGGTGGGAGGGTGGTGGAGGGAGGGGGAAAAGGGGGCTGATATCAAGGGCTCAAGTAGAAAGAAAATGTTTTGGAAATGTTGATGGCAGCATAGTGTGCATAATACCATTCAATAATGGATTGTTATATGTAAAAGCCCCCACCACCACCCAATAAGATGATTAAAAAACAACCACAACAAAGATCTGTAGTCTCAGAAAACCTCTGTAGGGTCTCCATGAGCGGGAATGGACTGGGCCGGCAGGGGGGTCAGGTTATCCTGGGGGAGGTTTGGCCAAGGCAATCCCTCCTTCACAATCTGTAGCTCGGGCTAAGTCTCAGCACCCCCCTCCCGACTCCCACTAGGAAAACGCTGGGGGCTCCTGTTATGCAACTACCTTCTCTTGTCCTTTTGGCCTTTTCCCAAAACAAACCAGACCTGAAGCTGCATGACACGACCACGTTAAACTGTGAAATACACAAAATTCTTCTTAGCCGATATGGGTGTATAGATTACTGTCCAAGATTACGGTCAAAATCAATCAGTCAAGCCACATGAACTGTTTAGAGTTCTAAATGTATTAAAAAAAAAAAACCCATAGTGAGGCGCAGGCTTGGGAATAGTCTTCCTTTTTCGCTCACATGAACACAACTTCAATATTTAGCCAGGAATCTGGCTGTGCGACCCAGCCTCTTTTAAACCTGAGGCGATGTCACCAAGATCTGGCCTAGAAGATATAGAGAGTGTTGAGTGGGACTTCTGAGAACTCTTCTTACAAGGGAAGGGTGTTCTCTCCAGCCCCTTCCGCTATTCTGCTGCCAGAAACACCAATGTGATGGGTGGAGACACAGTCAGACCCTGGAGCATTAAGGTTCAGGATGAGAGGAGCCACATCCTACATTAGAAGAGGCTTGAGGTTCTGATAACTCCGTAGGTGCCAGTCTTCTCTATGAGAAAAAAAATACAGTTCTATCTTACCTAAACCACTGGTATTTTAGGTTCTTCACAATATAGAGTTCTATCTAAATCTCAGTGCTACAGTCTACATTTTGCTGCTTAAACCTTTCATTCCTTCTCGATGATCTCATTGGTGGCCTTGATCTCCCTGAGCCTCCTGATTCCCCCTGTCACATTGGTTACATACTTTCTTGGGTTCCAGGAAACAAGAATTCTTCCAGGCTCCTGAACTGCTACTACTGGGCTCCTGTTTGGATTCAAGGGTCACTTCAAGCAGGAAATAAGTGTTCACTAGGTGCAATGCTTTCGCACAAGTTCCTTATCTGTCCCCTGCCCTCCTGGAATCATCTTGAGATGTTTGAATAGATCCATGTTGTCTAGGCTTTTCCAGAAGAACAGTGAGGTGGGGTGGGGAGGGGTAGAAGGTTTAAGAAGAATCGTCTGGAATTAGAAGATTCTATCTAGACAACGGGAGCCAGAGAAGAGCGGACACTGTCTAGAGTTTAAACAGTGGAGGTTTCTACCTCCTGGGTTGCATCCTTGTTGGAAAGGTTGCCTGAGATGTTGTCAGATTCTAGCAGCTCCACAATGCTGTAGGGAGAGCAGTCCTCCAGATCCAGCTTGCTGCAGAGCCAACCACAAAATCCTTTCTCCATGTCCCGAGCCGCGTGCCACCAGGCTCCCCAGGACCAGGAGAGCTGCACCACAGCAGCATAGAGGCCCAGGGAAGAGGCCATGGCCATGATGAGTACTGGGTAGAAGAGAACGAGGCAGGGGCAATAGGAAATCTTGTGCCAGAAGGTCCTCTCCTCGTTGTACACAAGGAAGATGTTATACCAGGTGATGGTGCCGTAATAGAACGAGACAATGAAAGAGAGGACGAAGACCACTGGCAGGCAGACCAGTGTCCAGAGGACCACATGAGGCCCACGGTCGGCTCCCAGGGCACAGACCTTCCTTCCTTCAGGGGTGGTTTCCCTCGATGATTCTTTTGGCTTGGTCAATTCCTGTAGCTCCTTCTCTGTCAGTGTGACGTGGATATCCACCATCTGACCCTTTTTCTTCCCTCGTGTGATGGTCCCAGTTAAGGTGACGTAGCGGCTGTCCAAGGGCATGTTCCACATACCTACAGGGCACAGAGGAGGTGAAAATCAAGATCAGAAAAGAGACCCTGGCATGTACAAATGTGCTTGACACAATGGATGGATGGATGGCTTGTGATAAGACTCGTATGAGCCCCCAATAAAATGATTTTAAAAAGAAAGAAAGAAAGAAAAAGAGACGTGGCATCCGTGTCACCCCCGGAGATTGGAGTGGAGGATGAGGATGTCTGTCCTCTTGCACGATGCCCGCCACAGCACCCAGGAGAAGTCAATGACTTTGGTGACGGAATGCGCCTCCTTCAGAAGGCCCCTGGCTCTATTTCTCCCCTCCGGTGGATTCTCACACATCTGGCCTCTGATAAAACTATGAAGTGCGTTAAGTTTGTCTTTCATACCTTCTCTCTGCCTTTCTGGGCCTCCTTCATGTCAGGGTCTCTGTGATGTGGAAGTACGTAGGGAGACAAGTTTCAACCCTTTTCAAAGCATCTATACTCTTGGGGTGGGTGTTATCCACCATACACATAATACAAGCATGTAGCCATTTATACCTACATAACATATGTACCATAGAGTGGCTATGGCCGGCATCCACTTGATGGCAAGGAGTTTGGGTTAACATACATACATAACCATACACATATGCACATAAATATATTTATATCCAACATGCACACAGATTATGAATCCAGGGCAAGATTCCATCTGGAAGCCCCGAAAAGCTGTGTACCGCACCCACTCACTTTGTTCCCTGTAACAAGACAAGAGTAGCAGTGGAGGCAATTCACCAACTCCACAATTGGGAAGAAAGAGTTTATTTTTCAGAAGGTGGCCCCAGTGAGGAGACCAACAACCAAAGCAGCATCCTGCTGGGGTCTTGTTGGAAATCAGAGTCCATAGACAATACAGACTTTTTGCTTCAGAATTCCCACCCTGGGGAGTCACATACTTTACATAAACTTTATGTAAAGTCAGATGCTTTACATAAACTCGGGTTTCAGGATAACCACAGGAAACAATTGTTGACTTTGAGCAAGTAAACAGAGCCACTGGGTCTATAAGTCTTTGACCATTCTCAGGATGTTTCTGTTAAGAAAAGACTCAGGGTTATCTGGCCCTTCAGAGACACAAGTCTGTTGGCCTCTGAGCAATGTTGTAACTTGGAAAAAGTTCATACAGACTGCATGAAGTCAAGTATCTTAGGCTAACTGCGTTGAGTAAAGTAATTTGGGCTACATCTTCTCATGTCTGTCTCATATGTCCATAGGCCTGTGGACATCATAGCTGACATACCCAAATATTTTATACACATACACACACCACCACCACCACCACCACCACCACCACCGCCGCCACATTGACCAAACAGCTATCCATTGGCTGCTCTGGAAGCGAGTGAAGGTGGAGATATGAAGACAGACAATTCCATGGTCCTTGGCATACAAAAAGGTGGTCTAGTAGTTAAATTGTGTGTGTGTGTGTGTGTGTGTGTGTGTGTTGGGTGCCCAGTGGGGGTAGACAGGCTCTAGGCAGATACCTGTCCTGGGCCTTGGAAACTCCTTGCCCTATGCATTGGAGAAGGGCTAGAGCTGAGCCATCCAAAGAGCAGGACTAGGAGAGTTGGCCGTCTTTGCCGAGATGTAGCGGTTATACTATTCCCCAAGCCCAACGTTTCAATCTCCCTCATCTCAGTAAACGATACCACCCGTGTTAGTCTGGGTTGACTAGAGAAATAAATTCATAGACACTCATGCGTGTACAAAAAAGAGTTTTATATACAAGAGCAGTTGAATATTGAGAAAACATCCCAGCCCAGTCCAGATCAAGCCCATCAGTCCGATATTAGCCCATATGTCCGATACCAATCTATAAAGTCCTCTTCAGACTCACAAAACACATGCAATGATGCCGAATGCAGAAGATCACAGGCCAGTTGGTGGAAGGTCTTATGTTTCCAGTGACAGTGCGAGCATCTCAGCACTGGCAGGGGTCTCCAACTGGTTCCGCCGGCTCCAGAGCTCTAGCGTAGCTCCATGTGCCTTGTCAATGGAGATGTTTCCCAGGGAGTGGGCCTGTGTCCCGCCTCCAGCAAGCTATTTATCTCCTTAGCACCTCCACATGAGGTCATCAAGTTCTGACCTGATTGACAGCCTGAACTGCACCCCTTCCCCATAAGTCTCAAATCGGTAACTACCACACCACCTTCTATCCTTTCCATTACTCATGTCATCATTGATCCTTCACCCGCAATGTCCAATCTATCAGCAAGTTCTAAATGACACTCTGGATCCATCCACCTCTCTGTAGCTGTCCCACTAGTCCTAGTTTCTACGTTCATGTCATTGTGCTTGCAGTGCTGCAATAGTCTCCCATCGGTTTGATTGTACCCCATTCTTCACAGAGGAGGCAAAGTGATCTTAAAAAAAAAAACTCTAAGTGAGATAAAGGGACTCTTCTAGTTCCGCATCCTCCATGGATGTTCCCTTGCACTCCTAACAAGCTCAAAGCTTCTTATTACAATTTATGAGGCCCAACATGGTCTACATATTGATCTGAGCCATACAAGGGCCAACCACGGCCCATCTTTCGGACTTCCTCTCACCCTCTTCCTGTGATTGCCTACTCGCTGTTACTGTTGTCGTGTGCTATTGAGTTGACCCCACCTCACCGGACAGAAGAGAATTGTCCTGTGGGTTTCCTAGCCTACTGTCTTTATGGAAACAGATTATCCGCTCTTTCTTTTCTTGCATGGAGCAACTAATGGGTTCAAGCCACTGACCTTTCCGATCATAGTTGAGCATTTAACCATTGTGCCACCAGGGCTGCCCATACTCTGCTGCTATGAAGCTGGTTCCAACCCATGGTGACCCTCTGAGCAACAGAAGGAGACTCTGCATGGTGCTGCGTCATCCTCAAAATTGTTCCGATGCCTGAGCCCATTGTTGCAGCCTCGGTTCAACCCATGTCGTTGAGGGCCTGCCTCTTTTTCGCTGCCCCTCTACTTTATCGGGCATGGTGTCCTTCTCCCAGGGATTGGTCTCTCCTGACCATATGTCCAAAGTGTGTAAGATGAAGTCTCACCATCCTTGCCTCTAAGGAGAACTCTGGCCCTACTTCCCAGACAGGTGTTTGTCCATGTATCAGGTCATGGTATTTTCAATATTCTTCGGCGGTCACACAGAATAATTGTATTCCATAAATGGGCCAAGGTTACTCTTATCTCCAAAGCCTCACCTCTGCTGTCTGCCCTTATGAAAATGCTCTGCCAAGACCTCTTCATGGCTGGCTCCTTCAGATCACCTGAAACATCCCTCTTCAGAGAGGCCTTCCGTTATCTGCCAATCTCTCCCTCTGGACGTTCCATCATCATCATGGTTTTATTTTCTTTGTAACACTCACCACTACCTGAAATGATCACAGTTTGTGACTCTATCCCCCTGACCCAAAGATAAGCTGCATGGAACCAGGGACACTACCTCTCGTTCTCACTGCAGGCATCTGTTAGAGACCCATCGATTTGCGCAAATCAATCGATTTCACCTGTTTCTTGCTGCAGAGTAATCCCGCATAAGCACCCTCTTCAGTTTCCTTCGCAGCAGCAAACATGCTTGTACCCACCTCCTGATGCTCATGGGCATAGATTCCCTGTGGTAGATGGGAAATAGGCAACTGAATTTCTGAATTTTAAGCCAAATTGATCCACTTCCCTCCAGAGTGGCTTACACCTCCCCCTGAGTGTATGGGGGGGCCTTCACTTCCTCGCATGGATGCTCTCATGTTTTCACTATTTTAGAATCTGAACTCCTCACTGTTGCTATAACTTGCATTTTCCTAGTCATTCTTGAAGTAACTAGTACTGTTTCGTGGTTAATAGCCAACAGGGTTGGTTTGTCTTATTTTTGTGCATAGACAGCCCCATCCATTACGCTAGGAGCTCCCAAAATGTGGAGATCACGTCCACATCATGCAGCATAGAACATAGTAGGTGCTTAGAAAATACTGTCAGATGAATGAGTGCATACTCTGCAGCACTGTGAGCATAAGGGTCAGCAAGAAGAGCCCTGGTGGGGTAGTGGGTAAGCATTGGGCTGCAATCCACATGGTCAGCAGTTCAGGACCACCCGCATCTCTGCAGGAGAAAGACTACTCGGGTCAAGCGTTGGGGTCTAAAAACCCACAGGGGTCACTATGACTCAGCAGTGAGTAGCTGGCAGTGAGTTTGGGCTTTTTAAAGAAGACCCAGGCTGGGCTCTGTGCCTATCTCTACCCTTGTGGTGTACGCAGCACACTTCCTCACGTGTCATCTCAGAAGCTCGTCAGGATCAAGAGATTCCTGGCCAAGAACCCGAAGCAGCACTGCCCTAGCCCTTGATGGACTGGAATGAAAACAGATCATAACATCAGGCACAGCGCCAGGAGGAGGCCCTGGAGAAGGACCAAGCCGGGCTGTAAGGAGTTGCACATCTAAAAGCTCTATCAAGCTCATTTGCATTTCACCACACCAAGCGGAAAAGGTTGCCATTACCTGAGAAATTTGACTTTTTTTTTGCTTTTATGCTTTCATCATAATAGATGGATTTGGTAATAAATAGGTGGGACTTCATTATTTCAAAGAAAAGAAGAACTATATCAGTGAGGGAATGCCTGCCTATCATCAGAGACATTCTTATCTAGTTTTCTTCCCATGGCTATGCGCTCATGGCCACAGAGACTTCCATCACCATCGGCTGTGCTTACGCTCACGGCCAGAGACTCACCATCATCTGCGGGATCGTCTAGAAAGTCATCTCCCTCCTCTTCTTTAGGCCGCTCTCCACCTTCCAATTCCTCTGGATCCTCTTCCGTCTTCTCGTTATCCGACCGGTAAATTATGATAGATTCTGGGCGGGACTCTTTCTTCTTCCTTTTCCTGTGACTAATGGTAGAGTCCCCATCCAGGGCCAAGGCAGCAGCCATAGCCTTCCTCAAGGTGCCCTGCTGGGAGCTTGGGAGCTGGCTCTCCCCTCCCACAATTGCTGGCTCTTCCATCCCCATCCCCACAGCAATCTCCATCTTGGAAAGGGTCCAGTTTGCTTGAGACAAATTCACAACCCACACGTCTCAGAGTCTCTTTATTGGAGGGGGTGAGGCAAAGAAGTCTCCAGGATACGTTGTACCTGAAAGGGGGAAAATCAAAGCCATCAACAGTAAGCAAATAGAGTGAGCAAGAGAGGGCCATGGTGGGAAATGACCTGTGATGTGGCCGAAGTCTTCTCTCCTTATTTCTCTCGACACTTTATCCTTGGAGTGCTGTCGCAAACTCTGTTACGAGAATGAACTGTTGTGATCACGCGGTACTCCTACTAGCGGCGGTCATATTTTTGCCATGCATGCATACAAGGTCACTATGAGTCAAGCAGACTTGATGGCAGTGAGTTAGACACTAATGTAACGTGAACCATCAACCTTGTGGGAGAATGTGAAGTACAGGGGAATTGGGTGGGAGAGTGCTCTAGAGCAGTGGTTCTCAACCTGTGGGTCTTGACCCCTTTGCTGGTTGAACAACCCTTTCGCAGGGGTCGCCCGATTCATAACAGTAGCAAAATTACAGTGATGAAGTAGCGACGAAAATAATTTTATCATGGTGGGGGTCACCACCACATGAGGAACTGTATGAAAGGGTCGCGGCATTAGGAAGGTTGAGAACCACTGCTCTAGAGTGACGGAAGGAAGTCCTTCTCATAACTCCCACCAAGAGCAGAGGCAGAGGATTAGGACCAGTACGCCAGGCCTTGGGCTGTGCCATCACATCTTGTAACTGTATGCGAACAGATGACTGCAACTCTGAGCAAGCCGTCTGCTTGAATTGACTTGTGTCTCCCAAAATATACATCATCAACTCACTATCCCTGTGCTTTTCATTCAATTTGCGAAGACGGTTTTCTTTGTCATGTTAATGAGTCAGTATTACTGTAGGGTGTATCTTTTTTTCTTTTTTCTTTTGTTTTTTCAGGGATACAGTTCCTAAGACAGCCCTGACCTCCATTTAGCTGCTAGCCTTCATCACACTTTGCCTTTTGGAGAACCGCTAACACAGCCTGGATTCATTCACCAGACACAGGGCCATGTATTCTACACACCCCCCCCCTTTTCCTTTCTAGAAGACAGCAAAATGGCAAGAACAGGACAACTGAAGTTCCCAGCCAATTTTCATATAGCTCAAGATCCCCCACCCCCATTCCCAGAGCAATAGCGTGGCCAGGAGCTACAATCAAGTCATAATTGTATGTGATAATCGATCATGATCTCACCCGAGGAGGCAAAACCAGGCCGGCCAACATGGCTATTTCTTTCAGCAGGACAATGGCAGTACTTCCACAAACTAAAGCACTGCAATTACAGCCTGCTTTGTAGGGTGTGTCTTAAATCAATCACTTTTGATATATAAATGAGCAAGCTGCAAGAAAGCAGAGATGGGTCAAGGCAGATGCCCCAGCATAGGAGACTTCCACGGAGACAAGAAGCAGAAATTACAGAGTCAAGGGCATTCCACAGAGCCAACAGAGCAAGCTTCCCTCTCTAGCAGGTACCCTGGATTCAGACTTCTTTCTAGCCTAAACTGAGTAAATAGATGTCCCACACTGGAGGTATTTCTGTTATACCAGCTCTCGATTACTAAGGTGCCAACCATTTCTATCTTTGTATTCTGCAAAGGCCTTGACCTTGAGACTATCCCACCTAAATTACAAAACAGCTCAAGAAGCACCTACCAGATTAACACATGTCCTAATCAAGACAGGAGAGCATTAAAATAGTTAAGTATACGGTAGTTTGGGGTCAACACTCATTGTACACCCTTAAGGCAGGAGATCTGAACCACAGTTCAAGGCCAGCTCCAAGTTCTAGGGATAATAGTCATCTGCTTCTTCTCATACTAGGGACTTTCAGCTTTAAGTCCAAGGGCTATAGGTGAGTATGTGATAAAGCTCAATCTACTTAGTGGGGTTTCCACATCGAGTCCTTTTAGTGTGACCAATGAAGGATGTTGTGTGCTTTGAAAGAACAGAGTCTAAAGTTCCAGTAGTCTACAGCACACGGCCTGGGTCCCCAAGAACTACATAGAAACTAGGTCGAAAGTGTTCAAGTAGGAACAGAGTACCATTCTCCCTTTGGGTTGTTTATTTGAATCACATAACATTTATTTACAATGAATTTTTAGAACATTGTTAGTGTCTTATATTTATAATCTCCTTTGTTTCAAGTGTTAAGTCTTAAGTCTTAGAAAAATGTTTAAAGAGCCTGGCCTAATCACAGTGATTAAACATTTTGAGACACGTTTTTTGAACCTGTCTCTGTGCTGGATAAACAAACAAACAAAACCCAAATTCATGGGCATCAAGTGGATGCCAACTTATACCGACCCAATAGGACAGGGTAGAACCTCCCTGGTGTGCTTGCAAGATTGTAACTGTTACAGGAGTAGAAAGCCTCATCTTTCTACCTGCGTGCTCCACCCCCACCTCCCATCCCTGCCCCACCACTACCCCCTCTTGTCTTTGGGTTCTTATAAGTGTTGTTAAGCATTTTTTGGCTTAAGTTAAGGTTGCTCCTCCCTGTTTCCCTACTGGCAGAAATGTAATTGCCTACTCTGAGACATACATGCCCCCTCTTCCCACTTGACTTGAATGTCCAGTAAGGGTTCCTTATCACTCTGGTAGGAGGGTCTGTTGGTTTGTGGTGACCTTAGCACAGTTTTGTATGGCAGCAACTGAATGATCGTCTCCCTCTTCCCACATCTTGAAAAACTGACCCGAACTGCAGTGAGACCTCTTCTGTTGAAGTGGTTTTTAGAGGGTTTACAGAGGGGGTGATCTATGGTTCCTAGCCGCTAGACAGGGTCTCTATCTCATTGCTTGGCAGACCAGATTTGAAGAGTACATACCCTGGGGCAGGAGCCTGCCTTCGTCTTGGTGCTTATTCAATATTTGCCCTTTTATGATTGGCTAACTTTCATTCGGCACAATGGTTTCCAGGTCCCTCCATGTCCTGCAGTGCTTCACGGTTCCATTGCTGTTTTAAAGGGAGGTGTGTATGGACCAGAGTTTCTTTATCCGTTCTTCTACTGATGGGCATTTGGGCTGTTTCCAGCTTCTTACTCTTGTGAGCTGTGCTGCAAGGAACATGGGGGAGCATGCATCTGTCCATGTTCGTCTCGTATTTCTGTGGGGTATATGGCCAGCAGAGGGATTGTTGGGTCAGATGGTATTTCTGTTGCCAGTTGTTTTAGGTATACCACGTTTCTTTCCACAATAGTTGTACATACTTACACGCCCATCAGCAGTTGTGTTCATCTGGGTGGGTACTTTAGAGCAGCAAATCCACAGAAACTCATGTATAAGAGAGAGTTTTATATAAAGGCTAAGTGCACATCAAGAAAACATCCCAACCCAGTGCTGCCCAAGCCCACAAGTCCAACATTAACCCATATGTCCAACACCAATCCACAAAGTCCTCCTCCATTTCACAAAACACACGCAATGTTGCTGACTGCAGGAGGAAAGCTGAGTCAGTGAATGTGTAAACATCTCAGTGCTGGCAGGGGTCTCCACACGGCTGCTCCAGCACGCAGGGCTGCGTCAGGGTAGGTCCATGGCCACAGGTCCATGGCCATCTCCTCAGGGATGTCTTGCAGGAAGTGAGCCTTGCCAGCTGAAGCAGAGAACTGGCTAAGGCAGCTGCACCCTGTTCTGCCCATTACAAAACATGAGACCCAAGAACTCAAAAGGCGAGGCTCTCTGAGCCATTTATCCCTCTGTCCTTTAATTAACCCCACATGTGTTGATTGGCCAGGTTGTCACAATATACTAACTACCTCAGCAGTGTATAGGAGTTGCAATCAGTCTGCATCTGCACCCTCTCCAGCATTTGTTGTTCTGTGTTTTATTTTGATTCGGGCTATCATTATAGGTATAAGATGATATCTCATTGTGTTGGTTTGCATCTCTTGGATGGATAGTGATCTTGAGCATTTCCTCGTGTGGTTATAGCTATTCAAATGCTGCCCTTTTTTGCATCATCTATTCATGTCCTTTGCCCACCTTTTAATTGAATTACTTGTTAATTTCTTATTAAGGTGTTATGAATTTTATAGATTTCACTAATTAGTCCCTTGTCCATTTTGCCATTGCTAAAGATTTTTTTCCCAATCTGTGGATTCTCATTTTACTTGTTTAATGAAGTCTTTTGATGTGCATAAATGTTTGTTTTGTTTTTAATAATTCCCAGTCATCTATTTTGTCTTTCACAGTGTGTGTTTCCTTTATTATATTTGGTAATCTGTGTAGGCCCTGCAATAGGGGCCTTAGTTTGCCCCAATTTTCTCATCGATAAACCTGATAGCTCTGGGGTTTACATTTGGCTTCTAATCTATCTTGAGTTCTTTTTGTGCATGGGGCTAGGTATGAGTCCTTGTTCACTCTTGTGCTGGTGGAGATACAATTTTTCCAGTGCCATTTGTTAAAGAGGTTGTCCTTTTCCCATTCAAGGCTTTGTTGTTTTTGTTGAAAAGCAGTTGCCTGCAGCTGTCAAGAACAGATCTGATGCAATGAGCACTAATGAAGACGTCTTGCTGAGAGGACATCCAGAACATCGTTCATGAAGAAAGTGGAAGGTCATTAAAAAGGAAATAAAGAAAAGATCAAGTTGGAAATCAGAAGAGACTCTGTAACTTGCTCTTAATTACAAATATTAGAAGAAACGATTAAGTCAAAGAGCTGAACAGAAACTTTCAAAGGGAAGTCCAAGAAATAAAGTGAAATATTATAATGGAATATGCCAAGTTCTGAAGTGAGAAAACCAAACTGGAAGAACATACTCAACGTAACTTAACCTGAAAGAACTCAAGAAACAAAAGTTCAAGCCTCAAGTTGCAATCTTGAAAGGTTAGATATTCAAACTATTGAATGATGCAGGGAGCCTAAAAAGAAGATGGAAAGAATGCACAGACGCACTTTACAAAAAGAACTAGTAGACATCCAAACCTTTCAGGATGAGCATAAAAGCAAGAACCAATGGTACTGAAAGAAGTTCAAGCTTCACTGAAATCATTAGCCCAAAACAAAGCTCCAGGTATTGATGGAATACCAACTGAAATGTATCACCAAGCTCATAAAGCACTGGAAGCACTCACTTGTGTATGCCAGGAAATTTTGGAAGACAGCTACTTGGCCAACTGACTGGAAGAGATCCATATTTGTGTCCATTCCAAAGAAAGGTGACCCAATAGATGCTCAAATTATAGTATGACATCATTGATATCACATGCAATTAAAATTTTGCCTTAGATCATCTGATAAAAGTTGCAGTAGTACATGACAGGAATCTGAAAGAGGTTCAGGCCAGATTCAGATGAGGATGTGGAAAAAGGGGTATTATTGCTGACGTCGGCTAGATCTCAGCTGCAAGCAGAGAATACCAGAAAGATATTTATTTGTGTTTCATTGGCTATGCAAAGGCATTCAACTGTGTGGATCAAAACAAATTATGGGTTACCTTGAGGAGAATGAAATTCCAGAACACTCCATTGTGCTCCTGCAGGATTTGTACATGGATAAGGAGACAATTGTGTGAACAGCACAAGGGGATTTTGCACGGCTTAAAATCAAGAAAGGTGCGCTGCAGGGTTCTGAGCTCTCACCACACTTCTTCCATCTGTATGTTGACTACATACTTAGAGAAGCTGGATTCTGTGAAGAAGAATGTAGCATCAGGTTTAGATGAAGGTTTATTAACAACTTGAGATATGCAAATGACACACCTTACATGCTGAAAGTGAGGAGGACTTGACGCACTTCCTGATGAAGAGCAAGTGTTGCAGCTGCAGTGTGGATTACGACTCAATGTAAAGAAGACCCAAATCCTCACAAACAGACCAATAGCTAACATCATGGTAAATGGACAAAAGATTGATGTTGCTAAGGATTTCATCTTACTTAGATCCACAGTCAATGCTCATGGAAGCAGCAGTCAAGAGATCAAAAGACGCATTGTGTTGGGTAAATATGTTGCATAGGACCTGTTTAGATGTTGAAAAGCAAGGATTTTACCTAGAGCACTACGGTGCTCCTGACCCAAGCTACGGTATTTTCAATCACCTCATATGCATGAGAGTTGGACACTGAATAGGAAGACTGAAGAAGAATAGATGCATTTGACTTGTGGTGCTGGAGAAGAATATGAAGGGTACCATGGACTGCCAGAAGAACAAACCAATCTACCTGGGAAGAAATACTGTCAAAATGCTCCTTAGCAACAAGGATGGAAAGACTTCCTCTCACATCCTTTGGACACGTTGTCAAGAGAGACTGGTTCCTAGAGAAGTATATCATCCTTGGAGAAGTAATGGGGCAGT